CTTATGATTTCAACTATGAAGAATACTGAAATATCCACAAAACCCCTTCTAATTATAATCATATGCTCACTAGTGACTGACTTCAAGATATATGTCCTGAAGTTCTAGTGAGAAGCTGTGACCAGTGCAGTTCAACCAAGTCTGTTTTGAGATAATAACTCACTGAAGACAATTGGTGAACGGTCGCTCAACCTTCGTGGATTGGTTGGAGTTAGACATTAACAGAGTTAGATGCCGTCTCAGTGGTCTATCAGTTAAGTGCTTTGGCGCAAGACTGGTAGATCCTGGGTTCTAATCTCGTGAGGTGGGATCGTGGATGAACACTAGTGTCGATTCAGTGCTTCCAGGTTTTCCATGGTGGTCTAGCTTTAATTGACTCATGATTTCAACTATGAAAAATACTGAAATCTTCACAAAACCCCTTCTGATTATAATCATATGCTCACTAGTGACTGACTTCAAGATACATGTCCTGGAAACGAAGCGCAAAAATCGTATCTCTCTTTGATGCATACTTCACATTTGTAGTTATTCATCTAACTAAGGTTGCTACCGGTTCTAAGCCCAGGTAAAGGAAGAGGGTTGGGAATGGAGTCAGCAACATCATATCGCTAACTAGAAGGTGGACGGACGATACACCTCCACTAGGAGTAACAGGCGTAAGGAAGGAAGTAAGGTTTTCATCGAAACAGATTATATCTATCATATCACCTCAGAAACACTGTATTTTCTGTTCGAATTTTTCTCGGTGTAACTAAGTGTTATAGGTAAGTGTTCACACCCTCTCTCTATATATATATACGCACATACGGTTATCAATTTTTTCATATCTATTAGTAACCATGCAAAAAAATGGTGAATATTCATGTATATCTTTTTGGATATGTTTAATAGTATCGAAATATTGTCCATGAATAGTATGATTTCGTTTGAAACTACACTACGTGCTTTAAAAAACCGCATTTCTCTAAAGGTATATCTAATTACTACACAATGAATTGAAGAGGCTGAAAACAAAACAAAACAACGCAACCACTAATTTAGCACATATATACCTTACATAAATCAAATTCAATCCAATCCAATCTCATAAATTGCATTTATTCATTGAGTATTGTAGTTTTTCGAATCAATTCTATCTAATAAATTGACTAGAATAGACTAGAATATGCATGTTTTGTTAGTAGAGAGATGTATTTTTTTGAAGATAATCTGCACCAAAGACTGATCTTGAATAAGTTCAAAGTTGAAATCAGGAGTCAATTGAAGATAGACCACGATGGAAAACCTGGAAGCACTGGACGACCGTTTCGTCCTATTGTAGGATTCCTCAGCAGTTCGTATCTCAAATAGACAATTGTTTAATACTAGAGAATACTGTATAACTGATTCTTTCTAGTATGGGAATATACACAGCAGTATCTATCAATCACTACACTAGGGAATGATTCTAGGATCTTGATTTCTCGAAATGAACGACTAATCTCTTGACCTCTGTTTTATTATATTTTATTTTTACACATAAATATTGCTACAAGGAGGCACCAGATATATATGCGCCACACAAATCACATTTGATTCTTGTGAGGAATGTGATACTGCCCACGTGCTCAAACTGAAGCAGGTCGTTTTCTTAGAGGGCCACACACGGAGCCTTTCACCTAAAGATCTGATCCACAAGGAAGTGGAGCATCATGAGTGGATGCATTCCCATGGTAGCCATTGACCAACGATTGTTTCATACGCCATTTGTTCTCTCGGGGTAGTGGAGCTCAGATGCACGATTGGTTTGGGATGAGGGTTTTTCAACTCTCCTAGGTTAATCCAACCCGGTTAAAGCGCCAGACATTCACTTTTCGTCCTCTCAATTTTGTAAACAATACCCATGGTGCGAGAAGGCAGTGAGTAGGACTTCCTTGGCAGAGGTTATATACGCGTGGCCATATGAGAGCATTTTGAGTGGGAGAGCGGCCTTTCCCCACTCTCGGCCGTATCACGGTATTTGGGAGCGGAAATCCAATGATTAACACTTTTAATTTCAATTAATTCACGACACTATGCTTGTAAGTAAATAGTTTTGAGAGATATTTCTCAAAGCCGTGACGAGTATAGTGCAACCATGTCTATTTTATTGAGGAAAGTAAATGGTAACACTTTTTAGACTAATCTCTTTATAGGTTTATATACTACTAGTTAATAGTCAGTAGATTGTATATCAATGTCTTTTGATGGATTTTCATTCACTGAGCTGAATGGTTTGATCATAAAGCTTTCATTGTTTGTCTTAACAGGATTATCAGAGCCAGCGATAAATGGAAAGACGTTCCTGAGTATATTCCAGAATGTTCTAAACACTTATCAATCCTTTACTTCTTTTTTTTTTAAAAATATAAAATAGGCATACACTTATGTTAGGTGATACATTAACGGTAACCTATTTTCAAACCATTAAATCAATATAAAGTAGATGCGAATAAATATAACTAACACCAATGATATTGTAACGAACAAGAACACGAATGGGCAAAATCGAACTTATAAGAGCACAAAATTACATTCTATCTCACTGTAATCTCACAATCATACGGTAAATAAATTCATTAGGTATTGTTTGTTTGAATCTTACCATTGATGTTCTTGCATTTTTCATACCAACTGCGTTTCGTTTCCGCTCTTTCATTATCGATCTTCTACTGAAATATATTCAATTCCCCGTTCATCATTATATACTACTTATGCGGATATAAGTAACCCACACCACAATATCATTCAAGCATCTAGGTGATCATCATTCTCTTCTTATTTATATCTTATTTAACTTATAAAGACTAATATCCAAATTCTAGTTTCCTATGTGACATTCATGTCCTATCATAAGTTAATAGAAACAACTTTCAACAAACTACTATTTCCCAGCATGGAGGGAAACCAGAATATGTCAAACAGAAAATTGGAATACTTATCATATATCTATCTACTTATCAATTATAATGATACAAATATGATTATTATAACGATGTCAAACTGTGCTTCGTTGTCCGTTAAGGTTAGACTACAATGAAAATTAAATATTGTGTAAATTTAACAATAACAATCTGTGGTAATATAAGCAAAGATGGTTAGTGACTAGCAGTGGAATTCAGGACGCTCGTTTCGTCCTATTTGAAACTGCATTTCAGAGTTGATTTTCACTCTGGGACTCGAACCCAGTACCTTTCTTTCCCAACGCCATTGCGTTGTGGTATAGTTGTGTCCTACTCAATAAGGAATAGATAAATTTGTCATGAAGTTTCGTAATATTGTAAATTAATTTGTTTAGTGTTAAGAGACTGTTATTAACTTGACTAGATAAATAGTCGGGTTTTTTTGAGTTATCTATTCATTTGTGTGACGTTTAGAAACAAAGGATATCTGCAAATATCTTCGAAGCACTGCTTGCCAATGTCGGGATCATTGAGGAGGCAGTGATAAGGTAAGACACAGTTATTATGTAAAGATGTTAAAGACGTTCATGGAATTGTAAATCATTAACAACTGATGGGGTTGGACTGTGTGTTGCTTATGCCTAACCACTACATATTTAGATCAATAATGTTAAAGTAGGAATGGATTGAAAGCAAATAATAGGCGGACAACATGTGACATCAATCCATGAAGTGACTAAATGTTCAATGTAGTCATGTTGGTAAGTGCAGACCATTTGGTTGCAATCCCTGTGATTATTGTCAGTAATAATGGGAGATATTAGGTGACAAGCTTCGGAGTCGATCACAGTCGCGTAAATGCATTCACTCATTCTAGTCTCTTAATTGGTAAGCTTTAAAACTATCTTACATTTTTCTCCTCCACGCATCGATTTGTTCTTCACGAATCATTTTGCTTATGCCTAATTTTTTCCACTACCACTGGTACTACTTCTACTAGTATGATATTTGTCATGATATATTCACCTTAATATTTTGATATAGTGCTACAATTGGAACCAATTTACACATAAATTGAGTTCTATGTTGCTTTAGTAGTTCCTTACTTCTATTTGTAGAATAAGTATCATGAGGTTGATACTCCTTCAGATACTTAAAATCTCAAGTAACCCAAACGCATTCACAATGTCGTTTCTTTTTAATTTCATTCATTTTGTGTTACAACCTAATCCACTCTTGACGAACATCGTTACACTATAATAAGTACTCCTATCCTCATACCGCTCCCCACAATACTACTTAAATAAAAATTATAAGTATGAATATATTGCTTTTTTTAAAAACTTAAATTACTTTTCTTTATATAGTTTAGATCACAGAATGATTTTCGTCAGACAACCACCTAAAAACAAGAAAACACTGGAGAGATAAGTGTTTTCTCTAAGTATACGACTCCTCAGCGTTAGTGTCAATCCAAAATCATGCTGTAATCAAACCTATAACCCTCAGGGCTCGAAGTGGATGCATATTCTGGAGTCAATCCCCTGTAGGGTAGTAAATGTACACTATCACTATGGATCCCAATACTAAGATAAAGTATCTCTTTCCCTAAACGCTTCCCTGATTTTCATAGTTGTCTAATTAAGAATAATCTGTATTGCAATGCGTAAAATTTCAACAGTCTTTACAAACTTATTTAGTATTGTTTGTTTGAATCTTCCCATTGATATTTAGAACTGCAACTGGTCAGTCTCTAATTGGCATATGTGCATACTGTGCGTATTGCCTCGATCTAACCTTAATTCACAAGCATTATTAGCAAAGATGGATAGTGACTAGTTAGAGAGACTGACCAGTTGCAGTCCTAACAAATCGATGGGAAGATTTAAACAAACAAAACTAAAAGTAGTTAAACTTCAGCCCATCGCATAAGCAAGTGGCTTTCCGGACTCAGTGGGCGAGTGGATAACGAGATGACGTTTGAAGTGAGTGGTACTGGGTTCGAGTCCCAGAGTGAACATCAATTCTGAGATGCAGGTACATCCAGCTGACGAGTCCCGAATAGGACGAATCGCGCGTCAAACTGGATTCCACTGCTAACTACTATCCATCTTTGCTTACAAATCTTTACAAACGCTTAAACTAGTACTTTTCTTCATACACAAAACTATTCTAGAATTGACACTATCACTATCCAGTTTTTTATCAGTTCACTCATTTTCATAGTTTACTACAAAAAACACTCCCTCCTAACCACCTCCCTACCCCTTTCAAAAAAAAAAACAAATATCTATCAATAACACAATTTCAACTTTGTAAAATACTGAAATCTCCACAAACCCCCTTCTAAATAACACAATTGTTATCTTTATGTCAGTTAACAACAAGGAAAAAATCAATAATTTATTGAACAGCATGAACAAGGTAACCAAAGTCACACAAAACAAAAACTATTACTTTATTAGGAGAATACTATATGTAAACACTATCATATATGAACTTGTTTTCTAATTTCAACTAAAAAAAACAAAACAAAAGAGAGGGATGGATAAAGCGAAACTTAATTAGTAATGTATGTTCCCATACAATAGATCATTCATATCATTATGATTATTATTATTATTACTATGATTGAAAAGACAAATATATGTATATCAAGTGATGTTAATGATATAATAAGTATCCATGTGAAGATTCCTTCTTTCCATTTACCATTCATTATTTTGTTAAACATAGAAACTATATATGTATAGGATGCCGAATTCATTATCTCTCTAGAAACAAATTAAGTAAACTATAATTGTGATGTATCTTGGGAATAAAAATTCATGAATACATTCATTTCGAATACATCAAGAAGGATGATTTAAATAGTGTTCTAGAAAATAAACTATCACATTTGCTAAATGGATATCAAACAAATAGGGCGAAATATGGATGGATAAGTGAAGAATGAACAAAAAAAATGCATAGAACTAGAAAAGGAGGCCCAGGATAGAGTAGGTTGGAGAAAGCTGGTCGGCGGCCTATACTCCATTGGGAGTAACAGGCGTTAGTAAGTAAGTAAGTAAGTAAGTATGGATGAATGGATAAGGCAGGTTTTTGTAAACTAGATTAAAGATGAAATAGGATGAATGCGAAGATAAAAATGATTTCTTCATTCAACTTCCACAAGAAAAGAATTGTATACATAAAGTTGAATAGTATTCATAGGGGAAAGCTTTTCTGTAATAAAAAATAAGGATTGGCAGGTGATAAGCACTTCAAACAGACTTAAACAGGGGTTGATGGAGTGGAGAGGGTATATCAACACACACACACACACACAAAAAGTGTAAACAATCGATGGTACACATACACAAATATATAATAAGAACATCAATTTCAATCAGAAATAGATTGATATCAAATAGATAGAATCAAGGAGAAATATGTCAATTACAATGTAGTACAGTATTGATTATTTTCTTGCAGAAATTTCATAATCCCCGAGTGAGTAAATGTGAACCAGATTTTCCAGGTGAATCAAGATCAAATCTTTGCTCTCCAGATGGTGTAGTTGTTTGCGCTGGTGAAGATGATATTGATTTACGATCAAGATGTATACCAATTGTTAATTCATAAAGAATTGCCCCTATCACTGCACCAATATATGGACCCAATATAGGTATCCAAAAGAAATAATTCCCTGAAGTAAATGCTGAACCACCCCAACCTATAATTAAATAAGAATGAATAGATTAGGTAATAAATCGACAGAATTGGCATATACAAACAGTCAAACTATGTAAACAAAGATGGATAGTGGCTAACAGTGGAATCCAGGACGCGCGCTTCGTCCTATTTGGGACTCGTCAGAAAAACTCATTCATCTCTAGCGTCCTGGATTCCACTGCTAGCTACTATCTATCTTTGCTTACCATGCTTGTGAAATAAGGCTATATCGAGGTTATACGCACAGTATGCACATATGCCAATTAGAGACTAACCAGTTGCAGTCCTAAAAACATCAATGGGAAGATTCAAACAAACAATACTAAGTAAAGTTAAACTATGTGATAATCATTGGCCTTAGATATGCAATTAGTTGACACAAGCCAATCCTAACTGATTATACGTCGATTCATTCATGAGGAACAATGCTTAATTGATCGGTAGAACGAAGAATGGGTTATTATCAATGAGTGTCATAGATAATCCAATATTTTGACGGGACTATAATTTATGGATGAGCCAATCAGATTTAAGATTATAGGTGATTGATTTTGGGGCAAAATTCATTCATCTCTTTGGTTAACTAGTGTTTAAACATTTTAACTAATGTCAATTCGTGATGAAAACCCCAAGTCTAATTCTTAACCCCAACTATCAACTGTCAATCATAATTCTAATTCTTCACACTGGTTTATAACCCTCATTTAGTCATAGTTAGTAAGTGGACATTCTTAAGATCATTTTATCGTCATTCAAAGGTTGTTCATAAATTATAGTCTCACCGAAGATGTGGATTTACACAGTTAACGAAACAAGAAATAGTAGACTGACACAGACACAACAGTAGACAATTTGAAATAAAGAGAAAGTGAAAGATCATTTAATTGGCAAGTTGAAATATGAGTATATTCGAGATGGGTATATTCCTATCATTCGTTTATTACTGACAAAACATCAGAGATACAGCATAGATAAAGGCTATTTAGACAGATTTAAGGTCAATAAGAACCAATCAACATGGAGGTGCACAGGACAAGCTATGAATCACTTATGGAGAAATTCAAACACTTCACTTCTACTCAAAGTTTGTGCTGATAATGTCGTTCAGTAGGACGATGAAAGTTCCACGACAAAACCATTCAGCTCAGAGAACAAAAACCCATCAAAATCATTCACCTGAGCTACAAATCTTCTTTGCTATTCAGACCTACTTGACAAGTAACAAATGAATAAGTCATTATATAAGATGAATTATGTACCAATTTTCAATAACTAATCAGAATATGAATGGCACACACACATATATATAAGATAAAACTCAAATGATACAATTTACAAGGTCATATATGGTAAAGTACTTAGGTAGGTCATAAAATACTTGATCAGATTAGAATGATACATATTTAATGGCTGGACGAAATTGAGCTACCTAGGCATAGGATTTGAATTCCTAGAAGTAGAAATCTGACAAATTTAGTTATGGATGTCTTACAACGAATTTCGTATCTTAGTGGAATAAAAATAGTGGTGAAACTATAATTTATGAACAATCTTTGAATGACGATAATGTGATCTTAAGGATGTCTATCTACTAACTGGGACTAAATGATTATAAATGATCATAAAATAGAATTATGATTGACAGTTAATAGTTAGGGTTAGGAATTAGATTTAGTGTTTTCATCACGGACTAACATTGTAGTTGAAGTCATGAGTCAGTTGAAGCCAGACCACCATGGAAATCCTAGATGTACTGGACGGCCGATTCGTCTTATTGTGGTACTCCTCAGTAGTGCGCATTCACGGTCCCGCCTGGCGAGATTTAAACCCAGTCTCGAGCGCTTAACTTCTGGAACCACTGAGCCGGCATCCAACGGTGTTAATGTCGAACATTAACCAATCCAAGAAATTGAGCAATGATCCATCATTGTCTTCAGTGAGTTACTATCTCACAACAGACCTGGTTAAACTCTACTGGTAACCAGCTTCTCACTAGAACTCCAGAGAATACCTCTTGGAGTCAGTCATTAGTTAAAATACCTAAACGCTAGTTAACCAAACAGATGAATGAATTTTGCGCCAAAATCAATGACCTATTATTTTAAATCTAATTGGCTAATCCACATCTCTATCACCTTTCCTAATTGACATTTTACACTACCTGACATTAGATGAATCATAAGTGTTTCAGAGTAGCTAAGTACTGTAAATTAGTGTAGAACGATATTCTTTGAAATCAGATCAAGAATAAAGTAAACCTCAATCAATTGAATTGTAGTAAAGATTCAAGCTATTTAGACATCTTTATGGTATTTTAAAAGAAAACAAAGAATATTTGAGTAAATAAATTCATTATGAATGAATATTGTATTTGTAATATCCTAATGAGTAGAAAAAGTAGATTTTTTAACGTTTCGTAACTCAGTTTAAGCCACTTCTTCAGAAAAGTGGCTTTTAAAAATACTAGATATCATGATTAATAAATACATAAGTAATTATTGCCATTTTTTATTATTACTTATAGTCGCTTATATGTTAGTTAGTCAGTTACACCGTAGGACTTCGTACGTACGTGCATCAGTTCGAGTTGTCATACCATATATATGTACAATGATAAATGGCCAAAATCTATAAATGAATACTTTATTGTATACTGAAAGTAATGAAAGTTATCAAGAATTGAAATAGAATACATATTAAAGTAGGTAAAATATTAAAACTCCGAAACTGTAAGTCAACCAGATTTGTTTCACATTGAGTATGGATAATTATGATAGCCTAATATTGCTTAAAGTCAAACATATACGCCATTGGATTGTGCTTAATAATCCGAAAGCTAGACATTAATGTGAAAGATCGAAGTTTCTAAGTCTGACTCTCGATGTCGGAGTTATTTATACACATAGCAACTAAAGAAGCTCATGCTGAAACGAAATAATTATCTAATGCCTTCCGATTACTCATGGATATGTAACTAAAGTTGATTTGTAACATAAAACAATAAAAGCTATAAGTGTTTGCTAAATGTGCATTATAAGGCAATCCCTAACTTGAAATCCGGAAGGGAAGCAAAAAAGATGAAGGCCAAAGAACACATTACGTCAGGGAATAGAAGCAGATATGAAAAGGATGAATAAGAACTGGAAAGAACTGGAAAGGAAGGCTCAGGACAGAGTTGGATGTAGAATACTGGTGAGCGGCCTGTGCTTCTCGACGAGGGGTAACAGGCGTAAGTAAGTTTACTAAATGATTGTTGTTCCACAGGTTAACCAGACTAATAAAAAAATAAGTTTTGGGGGTTTGCATGATTAAACACTTGAAATCTCAATTTTTTTTATTTCATCAATAAAATCAAATTGTTCGAGAGGTACTACTTAAAGTCAAGATAATCAAAACAGGAATAAGTTATAACACATTCAGTTGATAGTTGTCAGTTTACCATTAATGTAAGTTGTTCAAAATACAATCGAATAATCAGTCAAGTTTATAGCCCACTCCTTTTTCTAACCTACACAAATAATCGAAATTGTAGGAAGTATTAATTCTGACCAGGATAGATTTCCAAAAGAGGAACAACAGAATGTTGTCTATGAGATCAACTGTAATGATTGAAATGCAACTTATGTGGGAGAAACTTTCAGATAATTGAATATGAGGTTGAAGGAACACAAACTATATTTGAAAAAGTTCCCAAATCCTAGATTTATCTGAAGAACCCTGAGAATAGGTCGGTAATTGCTAAGGCGGTCGGAAGAATGGTCAGATCTTGTTAGAAAGGCTATGATTTCTTCTAGAGCGATAATCACTAACATATTTCATACGCTTTTCCTCATGACCCTAGCCCTCTGATTGGTTGTCATGTTTTTTTTAGTTCGCTAGATTGCTACATCCCCGTTGGTCATATTCTGCTACTATAGTAACAACTTTTGTACCAATTTCGTTCGAGTTGCTTGTTCTATCGCAAACATCGAGTTGCATGCAATTCCGTTTTCTTCCTGTCTTAGCAGTCAAGGCTTGATGTGTTGAGTACAATTAACTGTTGTCAGTTTCTAGGAGAACCTATCGTATTGGAGAAACTCTGTCGTTTTCGTTCCTAAATATGTAACATTGTAAGCCGTACTGAACCCTGATGACAAATCAAAACAGTGACAGCGTCACACACACACTAGAAACTGAACACAAGATCAATTTCGAAAAGACCAAAATACTTCAGAAAGAGTTTGTCATACATAAAGAAAGACCAACAGCCGAAGTGCTGTACATATGGGCTAATAAGAGCAACCAAAAAATAAAGGATGGTATTCAAATAGCTATCACATGCCAAATGTTTATTAACAAGTAATTTGATGCTATCTTTATCCAACCTGTTTATTTCATATGTATCGTCACTCTGACAGGAATTAGTTGGGACATTTCAGCATTACAGTTAGTCAGTCAATCAGTCAGTCACAACGTAGAACTTCGTACGTACGTACCTCAGTTCGAGTGGCCATACCATATTAGCACAGAGATCCAATTGTCGATTCAAATCCTATAGTGGTAGAAGCAGTACTAGTTTAAGCATTATGTGAAAGATTAGGGTTTGAAGATGTTATTGAAGGAGTATAATACAGTGAAAAACTAACTCGCTAAATAAACGCTAACCAGAAAAAATAATACAAACCATTTAAACTCTGCCCTGGAAGTTGAAGGAAAAATTATGACACCTCATGATGAAAGCCAAGTTCCTTCGGAAGTCACGAGGCCGATGCCCCTACTAACAACCAGAGCAACACTCTTTATAGGTACATGGAGTTAGAAAGTTCTAATAGTTCTAATATTGACCGATACTCTTAGAAACAGCTGATCTATTGACTCACCAACAACAATCACTCATGAACTTATTCACAACAAACACATTGAATCCACTAGGAATCTCAGTAACAAACACACACATAAAATCAAATACAATTATTATATTTTGTCCAGTTGATAGAAAAAGGATAAACTGTTCTCGTGATACCGTCACTCACGTCATACTAATCAATGCATACAACAAAGTGATCTAGCCTAATAGTAATAATAACAATGATCTGTAGTGAACAAAAACATTCTCAACAATTCTCTACATATAAACATAATAATCAGATCAATTTCATGATGTGTCACTAAGTATTTGATAAACAAGATACAAATCCATTAATCATTCATTAATCGTTAATTAAACAACAACATTGGTTCCAGGAGCATACACATCACATGGACAATGTCAATCGTATAGTAATACATCAATATTCATCACTGTTAGGTCCTGGGTTTGAATCTCGTGAGGCGGGATCGTGGATTCATACTGCTTAGGAGACCCACAGTGAGACAAAACGGCCGTCCAATGCTTCCAAGTTTTCCATAGTGGTCCAGCTTCAATTGACTCGTGATTTCAACTATATAAAACTTTTTGATAAATCAAGTGTGTATGATTCCACTTGTAATTTTCTCCTTTCTCAACTATCATTCCATATTTCATATTTCACTGTGTGTTAGAGTAAATTACGAAGACAGTTTGTTGGTTGAACACTGGTTAGCTTAGTTGGTTTGTTAACCAATCTGTAATCCCTGATTGTTCTTAATCAATGAAATACTCCACAAATGAGGTAACATATTAAGAAATCTCTAGTTTAGTTGAAAAGGGGTAGCTATTTCCATCTCCTTAAACATTTTAAGGTACGTGCACAATTGTTTACTGAGTAATAATGAGTTATGGCAAAATTATTTTAGCTCATGTATATATTAAGCGATTCGGTATAGGAAAATGTTACTCGAGGACATATACAAACATCAAGATAATCAGATCATTAAAAAAACTAAACTTACCACACATCAGTATCATTAATCGAGGTCCTAAATCACGGGCTGGATTTAATGCAGCTCCAGCATTCAATGCAAAACAACCAACCAAAGCGTAAACTAAAAATGCCAGATGTAGCGGGTGTAAGTAATCTGGAAGTTTCCATCCATTACGATCAGTAATAGCTAGAGCTCCTGCTGCTAACAATGCAGTACCAAGAACTTGATCAAGGAAACACGTTAAATGAGATGCTCCAGGATTTGTTACAAATATACCACCTGTTGTCTTTACTATAAGACTTCCATTATCACGAGTTAAAGCATATTCATGAATCTTCTCATAATAAACACCGTATATAGCAAGAGAGCCAACAAAAGCTCCTAAAATTTGACTAATAGTATAAAATGGTACACGTCTGAGCGGGAATTTTCCAATGATTGAAAATGCTAATGTAACAGCTGGATTAGTATGTCCAGAACCTCCACAACCAGAAAAAATAACACCCATATAAACAGCAAATCCCCATCCCAAACTAACTGACAAAAATCCACCATGAGCTTGTTTTCCATGATCGCCCAAAATTGTTTGAGCTAATACACCAGAACCAAAGATCAATAAAATTGCAGTGCCACAAAATTCTGCTAGACATGCTCTAATAAAAGGACATCTATTTAATCGAATTTTATCAGCAAGTGAATGTTGTCTTCGTTCTAATCTTCCTTCAAATGTATCTGTACGCCCCATCGGTAAAGAATCTAAGTTAATATGTTTGTATGTATCTTTGTATTCGATTGTTTCCAGTTAATGTAAATAAAATTTGTATTCACCAACTGACACCAACAAATGCAGATCAAATACCGCAATTTGAGGAGTTACAAGTGATTTAATTTTACAATTTACTCGTCATTATATTAGAAAAGTCAACAACAAAAACAACCAAAAAAACTATTTTACAGAAAAATTCGATTGGTTCTCATTTTTAACCAATCAGCAACTAGTTCTATTCCCATTTTATGATGTCCAAAATTATCATTTTTTTAAACTAGCCAATCAGAATGTAGATGATAAGGTCATTCCATGAAAAAAACAAGTTACTGGATCATTTAGCGAATGAAATTGATTCACAGGGATAAAATATCAACAATTCTTTGTTGCTATGCTAAGTCCTCATATTTGAAAAGTGATGAAGCTCATTAATAAATAATAGTATTTTTTCAATCTTGAATCTATATTTAGAGTCAAATACTGTTTACCTTGTAATTAATCCTTTGTAAGTAATTTCTAAAATGTAAAGCATATTTGAATCCAACTATTGAAGATTTTCAGAAATGGATAGAGTTATATTCGTATCTTTGGTATTACTATAGTACAAAATTATTTACTTTTAAAATTGAACATTATGTGGCCCGAATAGCTCAATGGTAACATGTCTGACTGTGAAACTGGGTGACATGGAATCGAATCCGTCAGGGAGCACCAGTTCCCTCAAGATTACAGATATACTTTGCTGACGAGTGTCAACCTAAGTTGAGAATCTAGACACTAAAGTGAAATTGGTTGAAATGCTGACTGCCAGCCATCCAATTTCCTCTCAATTATCAGTCAAGTGTATCAGCGAACTCGTAGAAATGTAAATAGATTGTCTGAAAACTAGGGATACCCGAACCATGAAATCATGAACTGTTAGACTGAGACACGATAACGACGATCAGTGGCAGACATGTTAGTTTATACTGTTCATAGTCACAGTAGAGTAGTGGCATCCACTTTGTTTCTTCTCTTAGGTCTTCCTTTAGCTTTAATATTACTTCATCATATTTATTCATCAAAGTAATGCTTCCTTCTTAAATCCTATTCTGCATTGTTTGATCTTTAGCATCATCACTGATCCCTCGTATTAATTTCATCTCTCTGTCCAGATATGACAGCGTAGCTTAGTGTAACCACCATCTATACCAAACTCTATATTGATTGTGACTGACCAATTTAAACAACTCTCAAGAGGTCAACATATTTCATGCGTTGAACTAAAACTAACTCTGTGACATACGTTCCATAACGGCATGATGTTCATGGCATTAAAAATAAAGTTCATTCATATGTCTGTACATTATTTGATGGTTATGACATCGGTGAATATTTGACAACTGTTTCCTGAGATTGAAATTGATCATTGTAAATAAAAGATTCACTTCTCACTTTAATTACATTAAAAATTGTATCCATCATTTTTCCAGAGATCGATCCATCAAGATCAAAGAGTCTTTCAAGGTAAATAAAGTGACCAACGTCTTGTAGTGTAGTGCTTCGTTAATCGATCGTCTTGATAACCGTTATTATAACAATCTGAACGGTGTATAATATCAGAAGACAAAGGGAAGCAGCAACTACATTTTTATTGATAACTAACATGGGCTAGAAGGCAGTGAGCACATTAGCAAATGTAAGCAAGCGAAGGAAAGATGACGCAGAGTGGAGATGGCTGGGAAGCCAACTCGTTATAAGCAAGCATTAATCAACATTTATAGTCAGACTAAAATGAATGACAGACATGTGATAGGTAGGATAAGAAGGGTGCATACACATACGCTAATATAAAAAAATAGTCAAGGTCAATAAGCGAATAATTAACATGATCAAAACATGACTCATAACGTTATAGGTGAATTGGCTTGTCCAGAAACTAGAATAAGCTATGTAGGTGTAATATAGTACACGACGTTACACTACTCCCCACATAGCTCCCCCCAGAGTGTCCGGAGGAAACACTGTTATGCAAAATAAACAAGGGAGAGGAGGTGTATATGCGTTCACAAACCAAAATTAAAGTAATAGCACATTAATTTGAAAATAACACTGAAATGGCATATGGATAACGTTAATAATATGTAGAGAGAAAAAATTGTACTATATCGAATAAGTTACGGTGTCAATCGAGGGGCGAGTTTATTAAACGAAAGTGTCACACTTATGTGAAAATGTACATGAAAATTGTCAAAATGAGGACAGAAATGGAAATGTTGGCATGTGATTATGAGTAAATTAGTAAGCGTACAAAAAATTTAACATGCATTTATGTCGTCACTGTCCGGATGATAAAATAACATGTTTGTATGAGCAATTCGAAATATCGTGAAAATAGAGCAATAAATTGTTTATGGGTATGACAGCGGAATAAATCGTGGAAATAAGTATTGTAGAATATAATAGAAATTGGTCTGTAGTGCCAATTGAATATGAGAATGAAGAACAGTGAAATATGATGTTCTGATAAGCCGCAGTAGAGTAAATAGAGTCGCTTAGCGATGAGTGTATTCGAATTTACATAACTGAAGTTTATGTGGGATAAGAAGTAATCCAGCCGTAGGAAGATGACTGCATCAACAGGTGGTATTCATTGCTGTACTGCAATTGATTATGATAATAAAATGCGAAACCAGCGTGCGCTAACGCTTGCGTTGAGTTATCGTTAAATATGTATTAGTAGAATGACCAGAAGAACAGGATAGTGACTGCTTAGACGAGATATGCGGAGTCGTATTCCTTTTTGGTCTAGAAGCCTAGCGTGGTTTGTGTAGTTAGAGGGATATGCGCTCAACCTCATTTGTTACGAAACCGTTTTAAGGCATGATAAAAATACCAATACATATGATTTTCGATGACGGCGAGTGAGACTGACTTGAATATGACGAACAAGAGTGTAACTTTGAGAGACTAGCTCTAAACTCTATGTTCTGGTGTACAGTACAATGGAAATAAAATATTAATTGCAGTAATCGAATTGTGATTATAGGTAACGGATGATGCAGCATTCAGTTATACATGTGAATGAATAGATAATATGAAAATAATCATTACTAATCGGCTGGTAATGCGGCGTCGAATACTTAGTTTATGTGTAGACATTAAAGTAGGGATCATCGTGAAACAAAAATTGCTGAAGCTCAGTTAAGGTTGTCGCGTAAAAAGTAGAAAACGACGATTGCTGAGTACCGATGGGATGAATGAACATCAGTTGTCTATCGAGAACATAAGTTCCTACTATCGGGAGTATGACTCCAAACTTATGTCTATGATAGAGTGTAATATTAAGCCGAAAATGACATAAAAAAAATTGGAACGAACTCACCCGAATCAGGAAAAATTTTCGTCATTGGATAATAAAAATAATCCAGTGAGTTTCGAATATCATAACGTGTAATGTCCGTATCATTATAATTTGTTCGATTAGTGATATGACTGCGTAAATGTCATAGTTTAATGTCAATACGAACAAAAATAACAATTCCACGTTAGATGATTATATGACATTATTGTAATAATGAGCATATGATGATTATTTGAATCATAACAGAATATGTCGTCGACGGTTCCATCTTTGGTTTGTGTTCGCTCGTTGCGGTCGCCAATTCTGTTGCGTGTTCCAAATACAGCTAACCAATATATTGAGTGTTCGTTCGGCGAGGCATCCAATTTTGTTACGTGTTCGCATGTAGGGCTAACCAATATGTAGCCGTACGTTGAGGTTGCCAACTTTGCTTCGCGTTCGTAATTCGGGATCGCCAATAGTGTTGCGTGTTAGTACGTCGGGATTACCAATATGTAGTGTAGTGCTTCGTTAATCGATCGTCTTGATAACCGTTATTATAACAATCTGAACGGTGTATAATATCAGAAGACAAAGGGAAGCAGCAACTACATTTTTATTGATAACTAACATGGGCTAGAAGGCAGTGAGCACATTAGCAAATGTAAGCAAGCGAAGGAAAGATGACGCAGAGTGGAGATGGCTGGGAAGCCAACTCGTTATAAGCAAGCATTAATCAACATTTATAGTCAGACTAAAATGAATGACAGACATGTGATAGGTAGGATAAGAAGGGTGCATACACATACGCTAATATAAAAAAATAGTCAAGGTCAATAAGCGAATAATTAACATGATCAAAATATGACTCATAACGTTATAGGTGAATTGGCTTGTCCAGAAACTAGAATAAGCTATGTAGGTGTAATATAGTACACGACGTTACACTACTCCCCACAGTCTCTTAACTACAGGTAATATTTCTGTTGATCGTGATTTCTTTATCGATTTACTGTTGATTGACTAAATCACACCTATCAACAATTCTGCGAAACTATACTAGATCATTCATTTAGTATTGTTTGTTTGAATCTTCCCACTGGTCGGTCTCTAAGCATCAATGGGAATATTCAAATAAACAATATTAAGTGAATTTAAACTTCACCCCATTGCACAAGCAAGTGGCTATCATGACTCAGTAGCTGAGTGGATAACTATTGTCTTCAGTGATTCTTTAGGAAATTGTGTGTTCTAGTGATTAAAATCCATCCCTAGAATTATAATCTTCATGTCTTTGATTTATTTAGCAAATAGTTGTAGGTGAGATTACCATACCAATTTTTTTATATTACATCATCTTTTAAACTTGTTAATTGAAAATAGTAGTTTTTACACTAATGGTTATCTAAATACTTAAGCCTGTGAGTACATAAAACAATCAATATCTCAAATTACAAATAACATGGTTACTATAAGGGAATTAATATCTACAAACTCCCTATAGTAATAATCATAATATAGTTACTAGTGAAGTTGTAAGAAGTAGTTCTCAAAGTTCTTGTGAGAAACCATGACTAGTGGAGTTCAATTATATCTGGTTTGAGGTAGTTATCTATCAATGGGATTAGAATATGATTGGACAATATTCTAAATTGTT